AGCCAGCCCTGCTGGCTGGGGAATTCTGGGAGTTGAAGTCCACTCACCTTAAAGTGGCCAAGTTTGGACAACATTGGCTTAACGGGATGGCTTAACCCTGCTTTGTGAACTAGGCAACTGTGGTCTGGGTCGAGGCCACGGACCAAACCATAAACCATAGTCTACAAACCTCAATGGCTGGGATGCCCCCATCAAAAGCACATCCAGGATTATCATCCCATGCCGTGAAGCTCTAGCAGCAGGACCCAACCAGGATCAGCCCAACCAACCAGACCAAACAGGGAGAAACTGTGGCAGATCCCACCTTTTAGGGAGATTCAGGGCTGAGGCCAGAAGACACTGTTTTTCCGTGGCCCAGGAACAGCCTCCTGGTGGGGGTCAGGCAGGCCCCCTTTTTATTCACATTTTGGAAGCTTTAAAAGCCGAGTTTCTCCAGAGAGGCTTCACTTGATTTGGTCAGGCCATTTTTAGCCTTCATTTTTATTGTCTTTATTTTATTGTTTTTGGCTTGGTGACACTTTTATTGCTTTATTTTATTTTATTGTAATTTATGATGTTTCGATGTCGTTTTAGATGTCACTGTGGATGTTTTAAATCAGTGTTTCTCAACCTTAGCGAGTTTAAGTTGTGTGGACTTCAACTCCCAGAATTCCCCAGCTGGGAATTGAAGTCCACACAACTTAAACTTGCCAAGGTTGAGAAACACTGATTTAAATAGACCTTTTATATTCTGTGCAAGCTGCTGAGCGTCATTTTGCGCAGGGAGGATAGAAATGCATTTGATACATACAGTACATAAATGAATAAACTAATCTGGAGCTGAACTGATGGGCGGGAATACACACTCATTGTCTCAATTGCATTTAATTTTTCATTAAACTGACCTGAACATTTATTAAATCAAATTTAATGCATCCAATACTTACGTTAGGCCCAGATAATTTTTGAAAGGAAGCCCCCCAGGGAAGGAACCAAGCTCCAAGTCCTGTTCTGGGTCTGAAAAATTTGTGTCCCTCCGGCCCGGCTAGTGCAGTGTGAGAATTCAGCATTTAAATCTGAAATTGCCCCACCTGGTTTCTCTGTTTTATAACAAGCCTTGTATTGCTGTTAATATACTACCCTAGAAAAGTAGAAGTTATACGCTTTCTAGTGGTGTATGGTCCAAAAAGTCAAAATGGAGGCGCGCTGGTGTGATTGGAGCTCAGCTTGTTTTTTATGTGGATTACAGAGCTTTGATCAGCCTCTCGTGCCGCTATCTTGCCCTGCAGGCACGGCTGATTTTTGCCTTCGCTCTGCTGTTTACTAAATGCATTTCATTGTTTGGCTTCCTTACTTTTTCCTTTCAATAGTAGAAACTTTGAAGGGTTTCCTTAACATTTCGCCCCAGTGGTTTCTGTTTACTTGACAGATCGGAGTCTTCATTTATTAGTATCGATAGGTCAATCTATCCGTAATAATATGGGATTCATGCCACTCCATGGCACTTTATTTTCTTCCAGGGAAAACTGGTCTACGCTAACCACGGCAAAATGAGTGATTATGAATTCCTTCTTAATCAAAAGATTGAGCTCAACGGCACAATTGCCATCACTCGTTACGGAGGAGCCGGCAGAGCTGCCAAGGTAACCCTGGACCGGAGGGAATATGTTTTCTTCCTGCAGTGAGATTTTGTAGGCTGCTCTTAAATGCACAGGATCCGACATTCAAAACCTAGATTCACCATTCAAATGTGAATCAGTGTTTCCCAACCTTGACAACTTTAAGATGGGTGGACTTCAACTCCCAGAATCCCCTAGCCAGCGTGCCACATGAGCCAGGTTTGCCCAACACATGACAGCCACCGATGCAAAAAACCCAGCAAATCCTAACCCTGGTTAACCGCCACAATTGTGAACCAACCATTGACCATATTGCATTAACACAGGTAATGTGTTCCTGAAGTGTTTTAAGGCAGCGCTGGGTATCACTTGCTTGATCACCCAGGCCACTTTCTCCCCACCTCTCAAGATGCTTGGAACTCTCCGCCACTCCCAGTTTGGCTGAGAGTGATGAGAACTGTAGTCCCACATGCCCGGAAGGCACTGGCATTCCGAGGGGCTGTGGTTGTGTTCCCCAGCTTTTTGTAACATACTGTTGAAGATGTCTGGCTTCTCTGAATGTTTTCTGCATTATTTTTATATATGAGATTTTATATTATATTAGGTGTTGGATATATTAGATATTTGAGTGTTTTTAACTTTATAGTGTGTTAGCAATCCTAGCTTTTAGTTATCTTTTACCTCTTGTAGGTTTTAGTGGCATGATTGAAACTGGTGTAGTTTTCCTTGGTTGTATTTTATGACTGAAAATAAAGTTTGGATGGATGGATGGATGGATGGATGGATGGATGGATGGGTGGACGGACGGACGGACGGACACTCTTTTGGAACATATCGGTCCTAATAAGTGGTGATGATCTACCAAAATTGGTGATGGCCCTGAAGTGCTTGAAGTCTTCTGCTCAGCTCAGAAAACATCTTACTCTTATTGAAGGAAAACTCTTACCCGCTTCTGTAATTTCCCCCCCATACACAGTCCGAGGAAGGAGTTAAATCCGGATCTGACGGCCTTTCCCTTCTCCCTCCAGGCAATCAATGGGGCCAAATTTGGTGTCATCGGAGTGGTGGTGTACACAGATCCTAAAGACATAAACGATGGCAAATCTTCACCGAAGGAGACCTATCCCCACTCGTGGTACATGCCCCGCTCTGCCGTAGAGAGGGGCTCCTATAACAGCCACTTTGGAGATCTTCTGACGCCATATTATCCTGCCAAGAGTAAGATGAGGAGCAGGACGGTCCCTTTGGAGGTCAAAATGGGGGGCCTGGCACCCCCATCTGCCTGTCACAGGCTGGGGAAGGCTATCGTGGTGAAGGATTCAGGAGGTGGTTTGATGAACCACCACTTGCAAGCTCTTTCGCGATCGTTGAAAAGACCTGCCAGATTACTGGTTCACAGGAAAACAGTAAAAAAAGAAAGAAAGAAAGAAATATGTTGGGTTATATTGATTGTAGAAGAAAAAGAGTGCAGTTGCTGAAATTCTAGCTGCCTCCTTCTTGCCAAAGAGACTCTGTTGGAACGGGGCTTGCAAAGAATGACTTTTGGATTTTGAGAACTGCAAAATACGAGGTCAGGGACGGGAAAGCCCAGGACTTGTTCCCAAATGTTGCCAAACTACCTTTCCCAGCATTCCTCTCCAGCTGACCATACTGGTTGGTGAGGATGGGAATTGTGGTCAAGTGGGATTGGGAGGAGGGGCACCGTTTGCCATCCCCATCCCACCCCCGCTTTTGTCACTGAGCAGTTCTGTAATCTTTTCTTGCACCTACTTCTTGCTGGATTCCCAAAGGCCACGCATTGAAACCTCTGTGCAAGATGGCCTCTTCTCTTACTGTTTCTCTCCTGTTCCACTCTTTCTTTTTTTCGGCATTCAGATTTCACCTACAGGATTCCAGAGGATCAGATCGTCGGGATTCCCCCAATCCCCACCCAACCCATCGGCTTTGAGGATGCCAAGTTGCTAATCTGGTGGGTACCAGATCTCATGCATGAAAGCCCTTCTTATGCAGATCCCAGATAGGTGGTAGCATGCAGCCAAGCTCGGCTGATCCCAGAAAGCTGGGTTGTGATGGGATGGGGGACTACAAGGAAATCCTGGGGGTGTGAATTAGATTGGGAAGTCCCAGAAAACAGCCTGGAAGAAGGAAAGGGCCAACCCTTTTGGACTTGTGGCAGAAAATGGCATCAGTGCGTCCCTGAATTTAGCAGCTCAGCTGGAAGAAGACTTGATGTAAGAAAGATGTTGACCAATTGTGCCTTTTGGATATTCCCCCCCCCCATGGATCAACCCAACTTTTGTGGCTTGTTTCTCTGTATCTTGGTTTGCAGTAACCTAGGTGGACCAAAAGCAGAGGCTGCGTGGCAAGGATCCTTGGGCTGTGATTATCACCTTGGACCCGGATTCCAAGAAAACGCGCTTTTTCCTAACACCAGGTAGTCATACCGATGGTACCTTAATGGGGGTATCACAAGAAGCAGGAAGGGATGTGCTGAGATAGGGTCACCCCAGATCAGTTGGATATGTCCCGCTGCCATGGATTAAGCCCAGATTTCTTTGCATTCTAGCAACGTCCAGGTGAATGTCTATAACCAGAGACAGATCAAACCATCTTCCAACGTTCTGGGGGTGATACGAGGAAGCGTGGAACCAGGTGAGCTAGTCTCCCTTCCTCTTTCCTCTGCCCTCCCCTCTTTGGAAGGGTCCATTCTGGACCCTGGAAGTGGCTTTAACCTGCAGGTTCTCTCAACATCATTTGCTTTGGGTTGTGGATCTTTTCCTGAGCCAAGGACAGGCACTCTCCCTTTTCATGATGTGCTAGGCAGTGTTTCTCAGTCTTGGCAACTTGAAGATGGGTGGACTTCAACTCCACCTCTGGTCCTCCATTGGTTCTTACTGTACTTTCCTCCATAAATACTAGGCTGTTCCCTCCTCTTCTTCTAGACCGATACGTCCTCTATGGGAACCACCGGGACAGCTGGGTGCACGGAGCTATCGACCCCAGCAGTGGGACAGCTGTCATGCTTGAAATCACTCGTATTTTGGGAAAGTTGGTGAAGAAAGGTGAGCTTGGGGTGTGGGGGGTTGATTTCTCTGTCCTGTGCATGATGGCAAAGCAGGGAGGAATTTAGGAAGCAAGAGGCAAAGTTGAGGGAGCAACCTAAGACAGGATCTAGGCACCCAGGTAGACCACAGATTAACCATGAGCCAGCGCTGTGCTGCAGCTGCCAAAAGAGCCAATGCAATCTTGGGGTGTATAGTGTCAAGGTCGCAGGGAACGATCGTTCTGTTCAATGCGGCACTGGTCCACCGCACCTGGAATATTGCATCCAGTTTTGGTTACCACGAAGGATGCGGAGGAATTGGAAGGAGTGCAGAGAAAAGCTACAAAGATGGTGAAGGGCTAGGAGGTTAAATTCTATGAAGAATGCATAAAGGAGCTGGTTAAGCTGAGCCTAAAGAAGAGAAGGCTAAGGGGAGGCATATCCTAAGGTAGTGTTTCCCAACCTCTTGGCCTCTTGAAGATGTGTGGACTTCAACTCCCAGAATTCCCCATGGCTGGCTGGGGAATTCTGGGAGTTGAAGTCCACACATCTTCAAGAGGCCAAGGTTGAGGACACTGCCCTAAGGGCTGTCACAGGGAAGAGGGTGTGGATTTATTCTTTGCAGACCCTGAGGATAGGAGAAGAACCAACAGGTGGAAGCTTTATCGAGGGAGATCCAAACTTGAAATAAGGGGGAATTTCCTGACGGTGGGAGCTCTTAAGCAGAGGAACAGCCTCCCTCCTGGAATTTTGGAGGCTCCGTCACTGGAAGGTCTCAAGCAAAGGTTGGACAGCCATTTGCCTGGAATGGTCTGACAATTCCTGCCCTGGGCAGGGGGTTAGACTGGATTACCTCTAGGTCCCTTCCGGTCCTATGAAGCTATGACTCTATGATCCAGAGCCCCCTTCTGGAATTCTGGATTTGGCCATTTCCTCTTTCCCCATCCTAAATATGGGGGGGGGGGGGAAGAGTCCTGGCTCTTTGCTTACCAATGCATTGCGTAGATTTATCATTATTTATTATGCATTGTGTAGATCAGTGTTTCTCAACCTTGGCAAGTTTAAGTTGGGTGGACTTCAACTCCCAGAATTCCCTAGCCAGCATGGCTGGCTGGGGAATTTTGGGAGTTGAAGTCTACCCATGTTAAACTCATCAAGGTAGAGAAACACTGGTGTAGATTTAATCACAGCCTTTCCCTCATCAGGGAACTTAGTGTTTGCCTCCGCACCACGCACTGAATAAACTTCTTTTCCAGATTTGCACCATACATTGATTCATAAACTAACAAAGAGAAGGGCTTCATATAACATGCTGAGCATACACACACACACACCACACATAGTAACCAAGGATAATGAACAAAACCCAAGTTAGCACATGGAGTAAACGCAGCTCTGAGGCCCTTTGCTAATCTGATTTAGTGTGCGGCGTGAACACAACCAAAGCTATGCACGTGGCATTGGGCGGATCCCAGCTGGACCCCGAATTCAGGCTCTGGAGAGATCCCAAATGACTTCGCTTCGGCCAGCTGAGTGGGTCACCATGCTTGGGTATTCCTCTCAGGCTGCTTTTCACACAGTTGAGTTCAGGGTTTGGTATCACTGGGGGGTGGATCTGGATTAAGAGCAGCGAAGTGCAGAACAACGTCCATCCTTCCCCTGCCCCAGCTGCCGTTCTGATTCAGTTTGATTAAAAGAAAATTTGTTTCTGACATTCTTTCCAAGAGGAGAATTTTGGAGAAACCCTCACGGGTGAAAGGTGGCATTCCTGCATGTTTGGGGCGTGTGTGTGAATACCCTGCGCCCTCCGTAGCTTCCCATAGGGAGACACTGGGGAGAGTCTGTCCCAGAATGTGGGCAGCCAGGGGGGCTGCAGCCTGCTGGAAATAAGGCTGTATTTCTTCATTGAGGAAGGCGTCAGCAGCCTGCAAGTTTCTCCCAAGGAGCTGGTTCAGGAGAAGAAAGGCCGGCAGCCAGGGAGGCCGGCCTACCGAGAACAGAATTGCGAGTTTGCAAAAGTTTACAGGCAGAGCGGTGCCTCTGAGTGTGTGTGAATCCTTTGCTTTTCTCCCTTGGGGGAGCTAGTAAGGGGATTCTTGCCCTGGTGGGCCAGTTTCTCCTCCTCCTGGAGAAATGTAGTGAAATCCTCCCCCCAGTACCTCTGCCCAGCATTTGGATGGAGAATTTGAGAAGGTCCATGCATCTCCATGAAAGGTTGACCTGCCAAGCCACCTAACTGGAATTGAATGGAATCTGGGTGGGCTGAAGGAATGGGATGTTGGTAACCCTCTGCCTCCAGCATTCCTTACTCCTAACCATGTTGTCTGGGGATGATGGGAATTGTAGTCTCTCATCTCAGACAGGTGCTGGGCCAGAACACTCGCTGAGAGCAGGTCTGAGATGCATCCAATCTTTTCCCAGTCTTGCATATCTCTCGAAGCAGCTAAGAATTAAATCAAGCTGTCCCCCCATGCCCCCTATCTTGCAGGAAAATGGCGCCCAAGAAGAACCATTATTTTTGGCAGCTGGGGTGCTGAAGAGTTTGGTCTCATTGGTTCTACAGAGCATACAGAGGTAAAAAGTGTGTGAGTTGGGCAGCCATATAAATGTATTAAAATAAAATAAAAGTTTATTTTTTATCAAATCTTAATTTATTTATTTAAATAAATATAAATAAATGAATAAATAATAAAAAGAGCCAAGACATGCAGTTACATCATTTCAGTTTGCTCAGCACATGGAAATTAGTCAAACTTATTTGTGTTTTTTCCCAGTTTTTATACAGCCACAATCAATCAACAAGAATGATTAATGTGGCTTAGCCTGTGATTCAGTGAGTCATGCGAATTGAGAAAATTGGGTTAATTTAGTAAAAGTGGTTCAATAAACTGTGAATTAACTGTGCATCTCTGGGATGTGCGCACACGTGCAACGGAATTGCACAATTCTGGATTTGCAATCAACACGAGAAAGAGCGAAAAGCTCTTGACGGCATTTCATCCCCTTGACCTCCTAATTAAGAAAAGGAATTGACCCACAGGCTTTTTGAATGTTTCATAATGACTTTAACTGATGCATATTTTAATTGCAATACTGTACTTTAAATCTTAATGATGTTTCTTATGTATTATTTCACTTTTTAAAAAATAGCTGCCTTGATCATTTGGTGTCTTCTGGATGTTTTGGGACTTCCACTGCCATCAGCCCCTGCCAATAAGACGAAGTGGCAAGGGATTGTGGACCCTGTAGTCCAGAACATCTGGAGGGCATTTAATTCTCTCTTTCTCTCTCTCACTTGTAGGAATTCTACAGCAAATTGCAAGAGAGGAGCGTGGCCTACATCAACGTGGATATTGCTGTCTTTGGTAAGCTTCTCACATTTTGCAGAGTCAAGATTATGAAAGTGCTTTGGCTGCTTTTAGCTGTCTTGGACTTGAGTGTCAAAAAAGTCAAGATGGCGAGCACGAAGCTGCAAGCGAAGCTCTGCCTGTTTTTTACAGAAGGCCGTTCAGGGTCCAGGAGCATAATTCTTCAGCCATCTTCTTTTAATGCCCAGTTTCTCCTTCTGCAGCTAATGCTACCCTGAGGGTCCAAGGAACGCCACCAGCTCAAAGTGTAATTTTTGCAGCCGCTCAGCAGGTAGGTGGAGAAGCTGGAGGTGAGGAAGGAGGGCAGTCACTCAAATACAGCAGTTACTCGGAGGGAACAGAAGCCTGGGGGTCACCATTGAGCCTCCATGTCCAGTAGTAGGATACCGCACAGTGCCAGGTGCTGGGGAGGGGACAGATCTTCAGGGCACCAGATTGGAGGAAGAAATATCGAATTGGTTTCAACTGAATCTAACACAGAAGTGATCAAATATTTGCCTTCTAAATGTGGAGCAGATCATCTCAAGCTGGTATCCTCCAAACATATTTGGATCGCAGCTCCCGAATTCTTTGATCCTGCTGCATCCGATGGGAGAAGGCTGAGATAACGCAATGAAAGACAGAAGCCAACCAGTTTGTGGGTTGAGAGATCTAGCTAAACAGAAGAGCAAATTTTAGAGAACAAATCTTTTCATGGTGGAGGGAGGCTGAGAAAAGATGAAATACCTTCTTCAATAGGAGTCTGTTAAGAGTCTTCTCCACCTGGTCACCTTTTTCTACATCTAAATGTGTGCAGGAATTTGAAAACCAGGGTTCCTTCATCACCAACCAGGATGGATTTCTCATCTCTTCTTGGAGCGCCATCATGTTTAAAGATATACCAATTTTGCACCATCTTTTTCAAATTCCTTTCTCCTTAGGTCAAGACCCCAGCAAATGCTTCTGTATCAGTCTATGAAAACTGGAAACACCATTTCAACAGAAATAGCTCAGTCTATGGAACAATCCCCAGGTAAAAAAGATAGTGTGTGTGTGGGGGGCTTATAGCCCCATACATTCGTTTCTGATTAATCCAGATTGGATTGTTGAATTGTTGTGAATGCGTTGACGGCATCTCCAGATCCTAAGCAGCTATTGGTTAACTTCACAAGATCAGTTGGACTACCTCTACTCAACATAGCTTTTTAAACCATAGTTTGTTGCATTCGATCATGGGGTTGCAGGAATGCCAGGCCTTGTGCCAGCCTGCCCATAACCTGAAGGCGTCGCCCAATGTGCTTCTATGGCTGGCCTCACACAACATTCTTCTTTGCTTCTTTGAGTTCACAGAAGTTACACACAATTTATTGAATGTATTGTTTAGTTTTTTATCCCACCTTTAGTTCTGGCCTTCGCAAGGTGGTGAACATATCTCATGCCCTCACCTCCCCCCAGCAAGGTCGGTTGGGCTGAGAGAGGGAGACTGGCCCAAAGTCACCCAGGCAGCTTTCATGCCTAAGGTAGGACTAGAACTCAGAACTCACAGTCTCTCTCTCTCATACACACAAACACACACGCACACAGAGATAAAAAAATAAATCCAGCTTTGCATATTGTCCAAATGCACCACTAGCTTTCTAAAGTGACCAGGCCACACACAAAGCCTTTGTGTAACTTTGTTTTCTAGCTGAGCTAGACAAGAACCAAGCAGGGTCCAACCTGGTTAGTACCTTGGATGGGAGACCACCAGGAAACCACAGGACTGTCAGCTAGACAGGGAAATCCAAAACCCACCCCAGAGAAAGGCAGCAGCTAAGGAAACTTGGGAAAGGGAGAATTCACCCTCTTCAATAAGTTGCCCCATAAATAGACCAAACAATTTGGGTTCGCACAACCAAGCTAGCCAAGATGAAGACCAACCCAGCTTCTCATGTGATGGAAATGCAGCCTCGGCTGTTGGAAGGGTCCGTGCAAACTCACCTGGGTTTTGCTCCCCTTCTTGCAGTTTAGGGTCTCTGGGGGCTGGAAGTGACTTTGCTCCTTTTATCCACTTCCTGGGCATCACAGCGATGGACATTGCTTACACCTATGATCGGGTGAGTCCCTGGGGCGCAGCTCTTGCATGCCAGAGGGCTCGGGCCAGGAACAGGAGGGGTGTGACGAGAACAAGGGCTGAGCTGAACTTTAAACATCACAAGCGTTTCCTTTGGTTACATTAGAAGCGGGCGGTGGAAATCGCCCCATGTATTTAACATCCCCCACCAGCACATGGAGCATAAAAACTGGGGGCTGCTTCTGGCAGCCGGGCATGAGTCAGTTTCATGAAATGAGAGGAGGCTACTGTTCTTCATGGGTTTGGATATGCGATTTGGCAGGCTCCAAAGTTGATCTGGGGGCACAGATGCCTAATTTTCTGCTTATTTGGGCTAATCTGGTGTTGGGGAATCATGGTGAAGTCTCTGCAGTTGACAGCTTGAAAATTAAGCAGACTTAAGCTTGGTTAGTGCATGGATTGGATACCACTTGGAAACCCCCAGGTTGTAACTAGACTGGGACACTGAAGAAAACATTCCCGGTTATAGCCCACATTTGCTTTAAGACCAGTTTAAAGCCCTAAAAACCTCACCTAAGTAGCATCTCCTAGATGTCATTGACTAAAGCAGACCGGCTTAGGACTTGGATGGGGCACCACATGGAAATCACAGCTGGAAGTTGGAAAAACATTCTGACGAACCAGCACATCCACATTTACAAAAGGGATTTTGCAGCTTGGATTGGAATGCTGCACCTGTCCTCTTGCCTGTTTTGATCACCCCTACGGTCACCGCTGGTTTACCCGTGCAGCTCCATTTTGTGCTACTAAGAACTAGGAAGAACCACTGAGGCTTGGGACTGAGTGTTTGGAACAGCCAAACCCACCTCAACATGTTTTTCTTCCTTGTTCTTTCCTTTGCCCAGAAGAAAACGTCAGCACGCATCTACCCTGCCTACCATACAGCCTTTGACACCTTTGACTATGCAGAGCAATTTATCGATCCAGGTAATGGCCGCCAGTTGCCGAACCCTCTCGGGTGCTTCTCTGCTTCTTGGGGAGAGAAACTTCCTAATATCCTTGCATTTTGCAACACAGCAGCAGTTCTCAAATCCCTGCATTTGGCATCGTATGGCCGGTTTTGAGGTTTATATACGGAGTGTATCAAAAGTCAGGTCCTATAGACAACTTATAATATAAATTACATTCCGTGTTCGAATTAGTTGCCATTTTCTTCTAAATATTTCCTTACTTGTTGGACACATGACCTTTGAATGTTCACAAGTACAGTAATTAATAAAATTAAGGAAACATATTGTGATTGGCCTATGGGGCCTGACTTTTGGTACATCCTGTATGTAAAGATCGCTGCACTCAGCGCTGAATAAAAACTCCGTGAGACCGGCTCGTGTGAAAGCATTTTACTCAGGTGTAATGCGCAGCGGTTTCATAGGGTTCCCTCCTTGATCCGAAGTTACCCCCTTTTCCCCGCCCTTCTCCCCGTTGCCTGGCTTCTGTGCCTCTCTGATTGCTGTCCTTTGTCTGTGGGGTCGTTGTTCGTTGGGCTTTTCTTCTGCAGGCTAAGCCGGGGCTCCTTCATTGCTCGCCGATCGCTGCGCTTCCTGGGGCTCGAGGGAAGCCGGCCGTGATACAAAGTATCCGCTCCTGCGCTGAGTTAATTACCGCCACCTGCCGGCGCGGCTTGTCCGACTTCCTCTTTTCCGCTGCCTGCGCCTGGGGCGGTGAAACTGACTAGGGGAGGTGAAACTGAACAGCGGCGTCGGCCGTGCCGGGTGAATCTGACATGCCGCCCCTCTGGAGAGAGACCCCCTCTCTCTTTGGGCTTACCGGGGTACTGCCCCCCCCACCATAACTGGGTGGCCGCAGGCACTTCGTTGTGCCAATCAGGTGAGAGGTTGTACAGTTTGGGCAAGCCGTAGTGGAAAACCGGGTGGGCCTTTCCTAGGGCTTTGGGGAGCTCTAGCCTTACCCGGGCCGGGTTTATTACTGGCTGGGGGGGACCCGAGGATTCCCCTTATCTCCCTTAGTCGTCGCGCAAGTTGGGGAGCTGGCCACATGTGCCCCGTGCCCTCCGGAGGGAGGGCCACCAGAACTGTCTGTGCAGGAGGCGGAGGGTTTTCACAAAGCCACCATGCCCCGCATTTTCGTCGGTGTGACCCTCTCCAGCAACCCCCACAGCAACCCTCCGGTATGTAGTTTCCCCTCGCGCCACCACAAGCCCCCTTGTCCCCTCAATGATTCTTTATTGCTCGCCAGCCAGGAGTCTTTCTCGCCCGCTTCCGCGAAGGCTCGCATCAGCTCCGGCTCTGCTTCTTTCCGCTGCTTCTCCGCCTGGGCTCAGGTCACGCCTTTCGCCACCAGCTGGGTCGCAGGGGTGGCCGAGTTAGACGACAGCTCCCGCGGGGTCTTAAGCGCCTCCAGGGTCTTATGGTCGCGGTAGGGCCCCGGTCTACTGCCGGTTTCTCTCCGCTCGCCTGGTGCGGACCGCTCGACTCCCGCCGCCGCTACTGCCACTGCTCTCAGCGCCAACGCTGCCCTCGCCTGCTTTGCCGCTGGCCTCTCGGGTCCCGGCGCCGCCGTCTCCACGGCCGTCGTCCCCTCTCGCTCTCCGGCCGCCCTTGGCGCTGTCGATGTTCTCGCCTTGCGCACGGTGGGTTGCCTGGGTCCCGCTGCCGCTGCTCCAGCCGCCGCTCCAGCCTGCCATCCCTCGGTCGCCCTTCCTGTTGCCGGCGCCTCGAGTTCCATGGCCCGACCCTGCCCGTCTGGTGGTGCCGCCGAACCACAGGTCTCGGACGCCCAGTCGACGTGCGGGTTCTGGTGCTTGAGCCATGGGGTAACTATAAACCGTAGCTCCTCCCGATGGGGCCCGATCATCATGCCGACCGGCTCAGTGCGATACTGCGCCGGTCCCGTCCCCCCCCCCACACCGCCGATCCGTCCAGCTGGCTGAACACAACGGGCTCCCTGAGTTTCCTCGCCCGGAGCCCCAGTGCTGACGCCAGCACCGGGTGGATAAGGCAGCGAGTACATCCCGAGTCCAGCAGGGCCTCGAGGTTCGCCTCCGCCCCCGATCTCACCCCCTTGAGGTGGACCCTCACCCGCATGGGTGAGCAGTCCCTGCTTCCCAGCGGGTCCGCACGCCGCGGCACCGTTAGCTACATTGGGGTGCACTTCAGCGTAGAGGCCCGTCGTTTCCCGCCGGCTCACTTTCTCCCCCTCGAGGAGCCGGACTTCGAAGTGGGCCAGCTGGCTTCGCTGTGCTCTGTGGCCACTGCCTCCTTTCGGGGTCGGTTAGGGGGTCTGGTCGCCGGAGGTCGCTGGGCCCCGTCCTCTGCGTAGCGCGTCGGGGCGTCCTGCCCCGAGGGGCACTGCACCGCCTGGTGCCCCTTCTCTTCGCAACGGTACCAGGCACCCACCATCCGCCGGGCCTCCCTGTTGTCGGGCCTCCACCGTTGGCTCCCGCGCCTCTCCTCCTGAGTTGCCTCGTCTCGCTCGGGCTTGGCTGACTTCTGGGCTCTGGTCCTCCGCTTAATTTGGTTCCAGGCGGCTTCTGCCGTCCCCGCTAGCCAGATCCACTCCTTCAGCGTCTCTGGATCATCTCTGCCGAGTGCTCTCTCCAGGATCTCCTGTGGAGTCCATTCTGGAAGTAGTGGACTTTCAGGGACTCCGGCCAGTCTCGGTGAGCTTTTCTGTGAGGCACCGGAACTCCAAGGCGTACTCGGCCCCGGTCTTGTCTCCCTGGTGCAGCCGCCGGATCTCATCCTGGGCTCGTCTGGCGCTCCACCTATCTTCACATCTGTCCCTGAGTGCCTGCATGAACTCGGGGAAGTCTTCCAGCTCTGCCGCGTTGGCATCGTACAGGCGGAGGAC